ACCTCACCCCCTGGAAAAGATTCAGGAAATTGGTAGGAGGCAAACTCACATGGTTCATATAAAATTGCTTCATAGTACATCTTGATTAAGGTATATTTAGCCTCTGATGTTACCCTGAAGTTTACTGAGAAGGGCTTGGATTAAGCAGAATGCCAATAGTAAGGCAGGGGTCACAGACCTGGGTAAAACCAAAGGGCCAAACTAACATAACAGATTATGTATTTTCAACAAAATGTTTATTTTTCAGCCTTTAGGGATGGACACACATCACCGTGCTCTAGTCTATTGAGCCTGACACATAGGTCAACCTGGATATAGAATTAGGCTGACGTGGCGGTTTCAGATCCGACGAGGGAACTGCTTCATTAATCAGGTCGACGTCTGTGGTGCCGTGCCTCTTTCTGACCCGGCTGGGAGGAGAAAATATGGAGAGGAAGGCATAGGACAATACACATCTGCCTGGCTAAGTGCAGTGTGTAAACAGAATGAAGATTGAGAGTCCAGACACCCTGCATGCACAATTACAACCAATAGCAAGGTCCATCAGCATTGTTGCATTTCAAGCCAGAAAGCTCAGCAATGTCCTGATCCTCCCGCATACCCCTTTCTCCCCCACCCACCCCCCCAAAAAAAGACATTTGGACCTAATTACAGGATGGAACGTTACAAACTAGTACAGAGGGCTAGAAATAAAACTAAATCTTGAGATTGCTTGTGGGTAGAATTAGGAGTCGGTCATACTTTCATAGATTCATAGATTCTAGGACTGGAAGGGACCTCGAGAGGTCATTGAGTCCAGTCCCCTGCCCGCATGGCAGGACCATGCTCATGTTCAATTGAATATTGATCATTGAAGTATCTGCAGAGAGAGCTTCCTTCTTTTGCCCTTCATAGTTTATAATTTGCTCCTAGAGCTGAAACTCCTGATATACCATGGGCACATTGGTGTAGAACGTCCTTCACTCTTTCCCTCTCAGTGTGAAATTGATAATGGTGGTTTGTAGGGATTCTATGTCTCCCTTCCTGTTCTGGGGTGTGTTTTTGAAACCCATGTCAAGCAACATTTTACTAATAAGTAATAAGCAGAACAAAGCATTAGTAGTCGTCATGGGTCTTTCGTTCCTAACTCTGAATATACTGTAATGTAGTAAGCCCTAATGTAGCACGCCTCCCTAAAGTATAAACAGACTAAGCTCTATAAACAAGCAGTACTAGAGGGCAGGTACACCTCTACCCCGATATAACGCTGTCCTCGGGAGCCAAAAAATCTTACCGCGTTATAGGTGAAACTGCGTTATATCGAACTTGCTTTGATCCGCCGGAGTGCGCAGCCCCACCCCCTCCGGAGCACTGCTTTACCGCGTTATATCCGAATTCGTGTTATATCGGGTCGTGTTATATCAGGGTAGAGGTGTAATTGTCTTCAAATAGCTGAATAGTTAAAACTTCTATGTATTATAAGTCTCGTGGTCTCTCTCAAACAGGAAGCATCCTTGGCAGGGAGGCCCAATCCTGCTCCTCTTACGGACAATGGCAACACTCCCATTGACATCAGTGGGAGCAAGGACAGTCCCATTGCCTAGCTGGATGGTAGAGACCATTCTTTCAGTTTCCATGCTGCCCAACCATTCTCTGGCATTTAACTTCTTAATCTGAGCCGATTGGAAAAAACCTGTGCCGGGGGAGGACAAATGTTGTGGGGGGGGGGGGAGATTTTTCCTTCCATAGATATGGGTGGAAAAATAGGGAGGGGGAGAAACTTAAATTGATATTAGTCGTCTGCAGTAATTTACACTGCCAGATGGTAATTGTTTGACGTTAAATTGTCGATTGATCTGGTACAAGATTATATAATCAATACTTTTTTAAAGAGCCATGTGAAAAACAGAAGTGTGCTTTTATCTTCAGAGTGGGCAGGAGAGGGTACATCTCTGCTGATATCTGTCTTTGAAAGGGATAAGAGACATTTCAAAACCCCTGGTGCAGCTCAGAAGAGAGATTAGGGTGGGGGGGGTCAAGAAAACCAGAGGAGATTGATGTGTCTCCTTGACACTGATGAGCTCCAGTGCAGAAGCAGATTGGAGGAGTTTCTATGAAGCAAATTAATAATGGCAAAGACCCATGTGTCCAAGGCAACCAGGGGCCATTGTAAGCAAAAGGCAGCTACAGAGATTCTTCTGAATGACTAATGCCTGTGGATTTTTTTGCAGCAGAAGTTTGAAAGTCATATAATTATTTCATATTTATATTCTAGTAGCAACTAGAGGCCCTAGTCAGGAGCTGGGGTGCATTTGTGCTAGGTGCTGTTCCAACACATACAAAGACAGGCTTTCCCCTCACAGTTTACAATCTTGCAAATGTTACATGCCTGTGATTTAGCCAGTACCTGTTGTCCCTGTACGCTGTGTGCTTGCAGCAGTTGATTCTGCCAAGCCCAGCTTCCATCGAATGATTGAGTTGGGTTGGTGGCGTGTAAAGGAGAGGGTTGGGTTATTTGGTGAGGTAGATTGAGGGGGAGCAAGGGCGGCTATAACAAAAGGTATCCTTATGCATAAAGGTGCGTGGAGCGTGCTTAAACGCCTAGTGGGAACCAGCAGCAGAGCCCAGATACAGGCACGAGCACATGGAATCTCTCTGGATGGGCAGAGACAGTGTTTCCAAACATGTGAGGCATAGGCAAAAGCTGTGAGGTGTGAACTGCCCCGGTAATTTCAGTGGGTGCTGAGTTGGATGTCCATGAGGATACTTTCAATGTCAACATTGCTAACAATTGCCTTGCTCAAAATGTGTAAGACAGGAGAGGAGTGTTTGTTTCCCAGAGTGTGCGGGAGTGCAAAGGCATAGCTGCTGGAGAGAGGAAGGGGCATAGGAGATGTTTACATTAAGATGGGTAGGTCTTTAATAGCATATGGCAAAGTGTGGGGTGGGGAAGCACCATTGTTTTCATTTTCCTAAAAGGGCTCGGTTGTCAAATGTTTGTGGAACACTGGGTAACGGGAAGGGAGTGGAAGGAGAGATGCCGAGAGGAGGGGGATTTGAATGGGATTGCTCTGTGACATACCAGAGGTGCCCAGGATGGTTTGTGTGTTTGTTTGTTTATCTCTGCCGCCGCCTTTCATCCCTCTTATTTTTGTTTCTGTTTTATTTTTGTTGTCTCCGGTGGTCTTTCCTCCTCATCACCCTTTATTGTCTCTTCCCCACCTTCTATTCTTTTCCTTTCCATTTACCCTCCATCCAGTTTGTACAGTCCTTCCCACTGACGTTCCCCAGATGTGCTCCTTATTACTGAACAGCTTCACCCAGCATAGCTCCACCTCCAGGACAGGAAGTGCTGTATCTGGATTGCACACATCTTTGCTTCCTCAGCTGCAGGTAGAACCAAAGAACACTTCTTTGTCCTGCTGCTGCACTGTAGTAGGACTAGCAAAACGACTGGGACAGGAAATGAGAATAATGTGCCCTAGGTGGTCTGCTTTGAATCAGCCTAAGTGACACGTCAAGAAGCTGCCTCCCTTTTCCCTTCAATATTGCCCCTGTCACATGGTAGTGGGGAGGGATCTCTCTCAAAATGGCTGACTTGGTTTTTGGTGCAGCAAAAAAAATGAATGGAGGTTTCTTTGGGGAAATACTGCACGACTGTGCTGGCCTAAAAGCTTCTAAGCAAATGCCAGAGAAACCTAACAAATCTTCTGAGAGAGAGAACACTGAAGGGGGTAGGGGGAGAACCTGATTCCAGAACTTTCTTAATATCTGCCCCAGGCTCTGTGCTAACTTTTCCAGTCCCTATAGATGACGTCTAGAGTGGCGATAGCTGAAAGGCTTGGATCCTCACAGAGTGGTTTAGGGAATGCTAGGGTAACTCTGGTAGATGTAGAGAAAGGGTTTGCAGAGCTAAAGCCCACATGGCAGGTTCTCACACAGTTTGGGCCACACAGTTAAGCTGATGACACACATGCAGACTTCAAGCATTGTGATTTCAGTCCTGATGTACATTATATGTTCGCGTTAAGCTTAATATTTGAGTGATTCATGTAAAATGCAGATAATAGATGTGTCTGGTTTAATGCCTTTTTTCCCGGTGTTCTAAAAAAATGCTGTTTGCCTTATTTATAAAACAAACTCATTGCCTTACGTGTTTGAGATTCGGTTTAGTCCACTCAGAAAGAAAAACTGTGTGTTGATGTTGAGGGGGAAGGGTGTGGAAAGCCATTAATTTTCCTTACTGTCCACTAGATGTCAGCAGAGAACATGCAATATCTGCCTCCTGCTTCTAGCATCCATTTCAGTATTAGAAATATTATATAATGTGGTGATTCTGAAACGATATCAAGATCATGATGGGTGGGAGGTTTCCAAATGCAGGTGGTGGGTGAAGAGTTGTGTGTCCGATTGCTGTCAAACTGTTTACTTCATCTAACATAGAGCACAGTGGCAAAGCTTGAATAGGCGAGATTACCTGATTTTCTTCTCCCTAACCCCTCAACACTTCCTCTAAAGTGACATCATGTCTCTGAGGCTGGGGAAACTAATATCAAAAGGTGCATATCCGCATAGTTAGGCGAAAAATAGCAGATTTCAGTTGTTCAAGGAACTTTGTACACAAAGCATATAGTACGTTCAGTAGAAATGGTTTTTGCTGATTTCTGGTGGCAGTGGTGTTTCACCTTCTCCTTCAGGCACGTTTTGGAATATATTGTAAATTTCGAATGACCGAGCTTTCGACCTAAGGCCTTGTAGACGTGATGTATTCTTTGCTTGTGACAATGGTCAGCATGATAGTGCTTAGTTCTTTGACTTGCAATGGTGGCTTAATGGAACATGTCCAGATACTAAAAAATAATTGTCAGTGTCGGTCCCTGTGGAACCAGTAGAAGTTGTTTGACTTGCCCAGCCATTCTGATTTGACAACAAGGAAAGTCAGCCAGTTCAAAATTGCCATGCACTGATCCTAGGTGTTTTTTACGATAGGCTCTGACTCTATTTCTCCTCTTGTTTTCCAGATCACAGGCGTTATTCTTCTTGCTGTTGGAGTCTGGGGGAAGCTCACTTTAGGCACATATATCTCTCTCATCGCTGAAAACTCTACCAATGCCCCCTATGTGCTTATTGGGACTGGTACCACAATTATTGTCTTTGGCTTGTTTGGCTGTTTTGCCACTTGTCGTGGCAGCCCATGGATGCTGAAACTGGTAAGTAAATCAAAAGAACTGTCATGTGGCATATGTGGAAATTGCTTATTCAATGTACTTTTATTAAGCTTAAACAGATGTTAACTGTAACAGAGGCAAACAGAAAGGTTGTAATGACCTGAATGTTCACTAAGTGTCTCTCATGCTTAAAAAATTCTCTTCACTGAAACCAGTCAATGAATCACACTGACTTCTGTGCAGTATATAGGACTCTGTGATGGCAATAGTGCTACCAGTGAACCAGATGTATCATAACAGACTTATTAACATCAAAAATGGCACAGCTCTGTAGCTAATTTGAAACAGATTTTTCCTGGGGTGCTTCTTAATAATACAACATGGAATGTAGGGAATACCTCGATGGTAGCGTTTAGTCTAATGCACACTAACTTTTCATTTCTGGCATCCTGTATTCACCTCTATAAAAATAGGTAGACACCAGAAAAGTAAACTCCCAGCAGTATGTCCGTCCACATTTCAAAAGCAGCACAGGGATTTCCTCACTCCGATAAGCTTTCCAATGCATCTCAAAATGTAAGGAAACTGTAGGTGGAGGGAAAAATTGCACAGGCGAGTTAAACATTAAGCTTATATAAGAGCATTCAGGGACAAAATATAATATGTGGCAATTTGAGGGGCGGGGAATAGTAATGGTCAGGTTAATATGTGGTGAAAGTGAATTGGGGCAGGGGGAATAACAGGATGGTGTCTTCTACTACAGTATTTTTCCCTAAAGGTACGTCCTCTGACTGTCAGAGCTAACTGTGGCATTCGCCGTTCTGAACATGAAGCTTTATTTTGAACACCTGTATAAAAGTTTTTAAACCATCTTTCTCCCCTCAAAAGAAAACAGGCAAATATTTGAGTTCTGCATTGTTTGTAGGACCTAGCAAAGTCCTAGCTGCTTTGCCCTCCATTAAAAATAGTTCTCCCTTCTTCCTCCTCCCACCCCAAGCATTGAACAACTTTTCAAACTTTTCTGCATGACAATTGGGATGAGATTTTCGGAAGATTAAAATGCAATTTCCTGTTAGAACAGCCTGATTAGCATTGTTTGTCTTCTCAGTTATTTATTCATGTGTAGAAAAAAATCAGACCTAAACTGAAACCTCTCTTCTGCTCCCTCACTTTGGTAAAGTTTGGTTCTAAATCCAGACTTCAGCCCTGATTCACTTTGTACATATGATTATTGCCAATGAAGTCAATGGGACTACTCATGCACTTATGTACCTTACTGAATCAGGCCATAGGCCCCAATCCTGCAGTGAAATGTATGCAAGTGAACCCTGGTACCTTTGCAGAGTCCTGTTGACTTCACTGGAGTTCCACACAAATACAAAGAGTCTGCCTGCATTCATCTCCTTGCAAGATCAGGGCCTTAACAACATGGGAACCACCTCTCTGCAGTGTGAATGTATGTTTCAATAAAATATATAAAATATGCGACTGTCAAGAAATGTCATTTTATGCACATCAAACAACCTAATAATGGGGAGAGTGTCCTGCAGTTATTAGTAGTTACACCACATGAAAGGTGTCCTATATTTCGCCCTCTAAATACATTCTTTTTTTCCTGTCTTTAGAGGAAATCTGGAGGCAGAAGCTTAAACTCGGAATTGTTTGCATAAAGAACTAAAAGGTTCAGACACAACTCTGCCCCACACTCTGACTTGCATTTTGTCTTGTTTCTTTGCTTTCAGTATGCCATGTTCTTGTCCCTGGTGTTTCTGGCGGAGCTAGTGGCTGGCATTTCAGGATTTGTATTTCGCCATGAGGTGAGTGGAAATGAATTTAGGTTATAAATGGCAGTGCCTCTCTGAGCAGGATTTGCTGAAGCCTCTCAGAACATGTACAATAATATATAGGTTGTTGACTTCAGCAATTCCATATGCATCATGAGTGATGTAGCTATTTTTCGGCAGTAATGCGTGCAGCCCTCTAAACACTGATATGATTCCAAATGAAGGGATTTAGCCAAAGCTTTGAGTCTTAGCTGTCTGATATTTACTCTGGAGCTATCTTTCTTTATATGTCCATCATGTAAGATCTTCTTTACCCTGTTACATATGCTGAGGACTGCAAAATAGGTTAAATACTTTTCTTAGACACAGCTACTTCACTCAGGGAGGCATTTGGTTGTGTAATACAGAGAGGATTTCCGAGACTGCAAAGCCAAACCAAACTAGTTTCCTTGATGTTGTGTGAATCGTATTTATTTTTTTTTCAGTGTGCCACTGTCCTGAGAGTAGAGTGAGGCTAGAAATAGCTAGAGATAGGAAACTGGGTTAGAAAGATGCCTTGTGAGAACAATACAGTTTGAATTTGTAGTAGCAGTGTTACTTTGTCCATTTTATCTGGAACCCTTTGTTTTAAGCCCAGGATTTTATACGTCTTTTAAACTGAACCAGGACAGTAACTTTGTAGTATCTCTTCCTCACTTCTTACTCCTAGGGGAATTCTGAGCCAAAAAAATAAAAATTCTGCACCAAAAAAAAATAATATTCTGTGCACAATATTTTAAAATTCTGCAAAATTCTGCATATTTTATTGTCAAAATAACACACTATAATCACACCAGTTTCATGTCAGCAAATATGTCCGTAACAATGCAGACAACAAAAAAGATCCAGGAAATTTTTTTTGACAAATAGATTCCTTACTAGGCATATTAATACAGAACTTTGAGTAATAATTCATTTAAACTACAGTACACAAACATATTTCCTGCACCCCTCAGAAGCAGTGCAAAGGCTTGGGGGAGTCAGGGATAATGGTGGAGCTGAGGGAGAGGGAAATAATTGTTGGGAAGGAGCCTGGGAGTGAACCTGGAGGGTTGTTGGGTCTGGCACCCCACCCAACCCCGCCCCCGCACTCCTGGGATCCTGGCTGCCAGCCCCACGCCCTCAGGTCTGCGTGGGGCGGCAGCAGAGCCCCTGGCACAGAGCTGGCAGCGAGCGGAGTCCCTGGCACGGGGCCAGCAGCCGGGATCCCGGGGGCGGGGCAGTAGCTGGGATCCCGGGCGCACAGGGCGGCAGTGAAGCCTAACGGTTAAACGTTTAATCGGTACAATTTTAATAGTTTAAACATTTACTTTTTTTAAACATTATTTGAATCCCTAGACTCAATGTTATCACCCCACTAGCTCCTGTGCCCTGGCACCAGTCTGTCCCCCCACACTAGCCCTTCTGAACCCCAATCTGTGTGACCCCCCCTCCATATCCCATGCCCCCTCACCTGGCCCTGTGGGCAGGGCGCTGTGAGGAAAGCAGCCTCTGTCCCCTTTCTCTCCATGGCTGGCTGCTCCAGCCCATGAGCCAGCCACCTTCTCTTCTGGTGCTACATCAGCACCTGGTGCGTGAAAGGTATAATTACAACTTCCCTTCGACACATTGTCAGGATCAATTATTCTGGGGGGGGGAAATCTGTGGGGGACATTAATTCTGCGCTTGCGCAGTGGCGCAGAATTCCCCCAGGAGTAACTTCTGTCCCTCTGACTCTTTTCCCTTTGTCATATGTGGTCCTCTAGTACCCTGTTCTGCTGAGAGAGTGTCCTTTTTGGCTGTGATATTTCCCTCTGTATGTTTCTTGTGTCTACCTTCACCAGCTGTAGATGGTTACCGATTTGATTTTGAAATACCTGTTCTTTTTTTTGCTGGGAATTACCGTTCTACCTGTGGATGGGCAATCTTTTGTCAAGATCACAATAATGCAACCTCCTGAATCTGCCACCAGGCTCTGCTTTCCTCCCAGTTCACGTGTCCTCTGTGACATTCCTGAGCTTCTCTAGCCTGGGGAGCAGTAGTTCCTTATCCAGAGAGCTCCAGTGCTGCTACCAAGCAATGGGATTGGCATTGCCTTTTAATGCCCCCTACTTCTGCACAAAGCTCACCTCCCTCATATTGCGGGCACACAAAAGGCAAATTGAAGGGGGAATTCCTCTTCTCTCTAGCTATTTTTATCTAATAGAGAACTGGCAGGTTATACTTCACCTTCCCTCCTGTACATTGACACAAATAGCTCCTTTAGGTTTTCATACCATGGGCCCTTACTCCTCAGGGTATCCCCTTGCAAACCTAAACATGTAATGAATGTGGGGAAATAAACCAGAAAATTGAAAGCTAGTTAATACTCTGTACACTCCCTATTTCCACTTCCATTTTTGCTTTTGCTTTTCACATCACACTTCCAGCTGTTTGACACGTTCCTCTGTTTAGCAGATGAACTCATTTTCACAGTGTGATCTTGTCATGGCTGCATAGCTGGCTGCACCCCTGTCCTCTCACTGGTTCTATGAATGCATCCCTGCAGGTGTCAGGCCTCGTGCCTTTACCTATCCCAGATGGAATTCTGCAATTCTCCCTCTCTTAGCCTCTGACCTGGGCTACAGTACCTGTGTATCAACCATGCTTACTAAGCAGATCAACTATGTTCAACACCTGCAGTTCTTCCCTTTAGGGAGTTGGTGATCAGTGGTGTACAGCGATCAGCCTTCTTAAAGCAAAGTATTGCTTATTTTAGCAGCAGGAACAAGGCTTTTGGAGGAAAAGGATTTTAAAATAACAAGGAGTAGACACATATACATCTTACCTAAAGTCTCCCCATCCTCTGATGATAACCTAAGTAAGCCTAGCTTCTTCCAGCAGCTCCTTGCATTTTCCTCCTCTTCTCTTTGAACAACTCTCCTCCCCCTCTCCCCCCATGCTGCTTAAAAGAGTGTGTCCCTTTAAAAATCTGCTATAGTTCTTTTGTTCTTCTGTGTTCCAAGCTTTGATCCTTCCTGGTCCAACCCAGTTTTGTGGGCAGGGGCGTCATTTCAGATTTGGGGGGAGGAGGGGGCAATTTTAACCATGATTCCAGGGGCTACTTAGGCACCTGAAAACTCTAGGGTTTTTTGCAGACAGTAACTTAGAAATTAACTGACAGGAACACTAATTTCTATATAAAAAAGAAAATTAAATAAATATTAGACCCAATTAGCACTAATACTAACATGTTCTGACATCTTGTGTTAATTCACTTAAGGGACACTAGTTAGGTTTAAACTTTTAAAGTATATTCTTACTCTTGACTACAACAATGGAAACAATTGTAGAAAAATCTAGATTACTCTATATCATTTAGGCTACTTACTTTTTGCTATTCACTAAGCATGGAATAGATCATTTAACTTTTGGAAACATTCTACTAGGGCAAGTCCCATGAGTTTATACAGCACCTACATGGGGCTCTTGGGGTGTTACCATACTACAAATAATAGACTAGAAACTGACTTTAAACAGGAGTGAAACTGACACTTTTAAGTCACTTTCACATTATTGCTAACCCCAAATGTTTAAATATCATGAGTCAGGCTCACCAAATATGAGATTGGCAAAAATCATGATAATCGCGAGATTATGTAAAAATAATAGATTTGGTGTGTTTTTTTTAATTTGCCTTCCACTTTTTGAGCCTTTAGGGTGCACTGGGGTCACATTTTGAAGCTTTCGCCATAGCCACGAGGGCTAGAAACATACTTTTTCTTTGAGAATGAAGGCTGAAATCATCACTTGACTCAAGGAGCTGGGGCTTTAAGGAAAACAATAATTATCATGAGACTCATGACAAAATCATGAGACAGCAACACTGCTTTCACTTCTGTTCAAAGACTAGTTACTTTCCAGAAGGCTCTTAAGAACAACACTATAGTGATTTGAGTTGCAGTTCTCACAGAAGAATGTTTAAAACCAAACACCAGGAAAATTTCACATTTTAAAGCTGAGAAAAAAATTGAGGCTTCTGAGGTATATCAGGACACTGCAAGCAGGAAAGAAAAGTAAACAGGCACAGGAGCTCTGGGCAACTCTTTCTCTTGAAAAAAAGTTGGAGGGTCAAGTCTTCCAGTCCTTAATCAGGTAAAACTTCTATTGCTGTCAGCATCTCCACTCATATATAATAACACGTGCTCAATAATTATACATTTCATACATAAATATCTGAGCTATCTTATCCAGGGCTACACATTTTATACGCATTGGCTCAGGGACTATACTTTCTGGCATATTCTGAACAGTGCTGAGCACACAGATGGTGTCAGTGAATAAGAACATAAGAACGGTCATACTGGGTCAGACCAATCATCCATCTAGCCCAGTATTCTGTCTTCCAACAGTGGCCAGTGCCAGGTGCCCCAGACGGAATGAACAGAACAAGTAATAATCGAGTGACCCATCTCCTGTCACCCATTCCCAGCTTCTGGCAAACAGAGGCTAGAGACTGAATAATACAATATCATGGATAATACAAATCATGACAATAATCATCGACTTTATGGATGCAATTACTGTTCTTTGTTCTGGAATTGACCTGAATACAGCTGAAACCCTAAGAGTTTGATGTATAATCATATCTGATATTTATATGACACTTTCTCATTTCTTCCTTTTCTCAAACTCAGAACAAAAAATGACAAAACAAAATGGTTTTCAGTTAAAACATAAAACTGCACAGCAGCCGTTGCTCTACGGCCCAGCATGTGGCAGAACCTGCCACCCTTCGGGGGTTAAGTGATCTCCTCTCATCTGACTCTCATTCTCTCTCTTCATCCTTCCTGACCTCTGTGCTGCTTTTCATGCTGTCAACATGACATCCTTCCCAATCGCCTGGGACTCTTTGCTGGAGTCTCAGAGAACTGGCCGCCTTGGTTTTGCTCCCAGCTATCAGCATGCAGCAAAGAGAGTGGCTGGTCCAGTGAATAGGTTGTCAACCCTCAGAGACCTGGGTTCTACTCCTCCCTGTATGACTTCAGGCCCCTGCCTTAGGACAGAGTTTCAAAGGGTTTAGGCACCCAAAGATGCAGCGAGGCAGCTAGTGGGGTTTACAAAGAACCTAAACTTCTGGGTGATTTTGAAAATCCCACTAGGTGCCTAAATACCTTTAAAAATCTTGCCTTTAGTCTGTGTGTCTCAGTGCCCCATCTATACAATGGGGATAACAGCACTGCTCTACCTCACAGAGGGGTTGTGAGGAGAAATGGGTTAGACATTGTAAGGCACTCAGATACTATGGTGATGGGGTCACATAAGTACCACGAGTAGAGGGGGAACTTCTCTGTACCACTGCTATCCCTTCCCTTCTTTTCACCTCTCCCCTTCAGATCTCCCTTTTTTCTGATGTGACTTTGGCTCAGAGGGCTTGGCTGTATTACTTCTGAGTCCTAAGTTCCCTCTAAGTTGCGCAGCTGCACAGCTGACTATTAAGCCCCGATGCCTCTCTGCCAGCATGAACCTGCCACGGCGGGGAGAGGCGCCCCTCCCCACCGGCCCCAGAATGAACCTGCCCCGGACATGCGACAGCCGGGGGAGAGGCGCCCCTCTCTTGGACTGGCCTGGCCCAGGCCCGCTGGAGCTGCCGGAGAGATGAGCCCCTCTCCCGGCCTGGCCCAGGCCCGCTGGAGCTGCTGGAGAGATGAGCCCCTCTCTCAACCTGGCTCAGCCCCGCTGGAGCTGCCGCAGCCGGGGAGAGGTGCCTCTTCCCCAGCCCAAGCTACTGCAGTGAGAGAGGGCTGAGGGGAGTCCCTCATCCACAGCCCCACCCCAGAGTCCACACCCCCAGCCAGAGCCCTCATCCTCCCACACCCCAACCCTCAGCCCAGAGCCCCCTCCCAAACCCCGAACTCCTCATCCCCGGCCCCACCCCAGAGCCCGCACCCCTCAACCCTCTGCTCCAGCCCTGAGCCCCCTCCCACACTCCAAAGCCCTCGGCCCCACCCCCACCACATGAATTTTATTATGTGCACCAATATGAAGGTGATGTGTCACACATCACGTCCATATTGGTGCACATAACAAAATTCATTCCGCACATGGTCGTAAAAAATTAGAAGGAACGCTGTCTGAGTCCCCTGCGTTCTCTCTTCAACACCTTCCTTTTCCCCCGCCCCCTTCTCCCAGAGGAATCCCTGTTTTACAGGCTCATCTAAGGACTTCCAGATCCTTAATTTAATTACCAGCCCTTTCTTATCTTAAAATCACCCTGCCTCTGTTTGTAAACAAAATACTGACTCCTTGCCCCAGGGCATCAGCTGAGACCAGCACCTCCCCTCTGCTGAACTCACATTGCACACCCAGGCTGCAGGGCAGTTAACAGCTCTGCCTGGGGCTAGGATATTCACCTGGAGCAGAGCTGCTGTATGAAGCTCCCCTCTGCCCCTCTGAAATGGTGCCCCTGTTTGCAGGTTGGCTCAAAACAGATGAAATCATCAGAGCTAATAGCTTTGACATTGTCCCTTAACAACTCAAGTGTTTCATGAGAGGTGGCTGTCTTGAGCTGTGCTTTTCCTTCCTGCTTGTTTTTCAAGTCAGCCGTCTGACTGACCTAAACTAATATATTCATACAGTAAACATCCCAATAACCAGACTAACATATAGTATTCATAAATTGTCACAGGGCAGTTCCCAATCCATCCCAGCTGTTTTCAAACATATAGCATTTGGTGATCTACTTAAAGAGTCTATGGTTGCAGATTTCAGAGTCTATGGTTGCAAGTGGCAATCTTAAAATGCTATCAAAAGGACATGTGAATGTTAAAGGAGAGCTTTTTAGACTCTGAATATACACTCCAGAAAGAGTGGCAAAAGGAACACATACTCGCTCTGATTTGGCTATCCTGCTAAGGTTGGAAATGGGTAAATTTCTTGGAAAGACTCAGACTGAAAGTTTGTGTGTTAAAATGCCCATTCCATATGCTGGTCACTTATAAAATATCTCATTCTCTGGCTTTTTCCTCTTAGATCAAGGACACTTTCCTTAGGACATACACTGAAGCTATCCAGAATTACAACGGCAACGATGAGCGAAGCCTCGCAGTGGATGACGTACAACAGAGTGTAAGTTTAAAATAGCTATTTGTAAAAAGATGTAAACAGAAGCTATTCTTGTTTGATCACAAAACATGAATTGCCAATGGCTCAAATAGCTGTGTTAGTAAGTTATATTTTAGGGGCTAAACTGATTACATGGGGTTTCAGCCTGCATTCCTTCCACACCCACAGCTGCTACTGATTAGACCTTCAAGGTGTTGGTTCCAGGATTCAATACCTAGAATGGAGAGACAGGATTCTGAATACCTGGGGTGAAATGCTGGCTCCAAGTGGGTGAGAGTTTTGCCGGTGACCTCAATGGTGCCTGGATCGCATCTTTGGTATTTACTAGCTACAGAATAGCCAGTCTATCCAAGGGTGCTCTGTGCTTGTTTGGGACACTGTACTGTCAATATCCTGGACGAAAGAACCACCACCAGAAGACAGTATTTCACAAACTATATTGCCATGGCATCTAGCAGGCATCTTCTGACAACTGCTACTTTTTAAAACCAGTTGAGTTCACCCCTAATCTTGGGCTTGGTCAGTATTAGAAAACGTATAGCCTTGTGACATAATCAATTTAAAATCAATATAGTTATCCTGGGGCAAACCCTTAATATGGACTCATTTAAGCTGGTCTAAATCACACTTAAGATGATCTAGTTTAATGTGGAAACTTCATTTTACATTTATTTAGTTAAACCAATGCAAGTTTTATAATGCAGACAAGCCCTTGTGCTAGTCCAGGGATAGGCAACCTATGGCACGTGTGCCGAAGGCGGCACGCGAGCTGATTTTCAGTGGCACCCACACTGCCCGGGTCCTGGCCACCAGTCCGGGGGGCTCCACATTTTAAATTAATTTTAAATGAAGCTTCTTAAGCATTTTAAAAACCTTATTTACTTTACATACAACAATAGTTTAGTTATATATTACAAACTTATAGAAAGAGACCTTCTAAAAACATTAAAATGTATTACTGGCACGCAAAACCTTAAATTAGAGTGAATAAATGAAGACTCGGCACATCACTTCTGAAAGGTTGCCGACCCCTGTGCTAGTCTTTAGTTGTTTGGTGTTTAGTTAGGATCATAGAGTGTGAGCAGTTCTTATTCTAAAGAGGCTCTGCCACTAGCATTATAAAGCTTTACAAATATGAACATGATTAGTCAGGATTTGGTCATCTAGCTTCCTGTTTAGTTGATAACCTATAGCAGTTCTCTTTGCAAAGACAATGAAAGGCCTGGAAGATGAAACCTGTCAAGAAAGGTTAAGAGAACTGGGCATGTTCCATTGGGAGAAAAGATGGGTGAGGGACACACGTGACTGCCTACAGTTGCTCCACGAGATGTTTTCAAACAGGTTATTGTCCTTCCATAACAAAGACTGAATAAACAGTAGTGGAGGAAAGATGCAGCAGGTTTTAAAAATGGAAGTGGGGCTTTAATTATAAGAAGAATTTGACAGTGGAACAAGATTACCAAAAGGACGGTGCTTTTCCCCCTCACTTGAGATATTTGGGGCTAGACGAGACACCCCACTTACAATCTCTTGTCACACTGAGAATTTGCCATTTATTCCCCATCTTTGACAGGCTTTGCCAGGTTTTTAGTCTAGAATAGGACACACCTCCCACCCTTACAAAAGCATTTTGAAAGTGTAAACCCACCAGTTCTGCTTTTATTTGCTATTTTGTTAACTCTTTTAAAGAAGTCTTATGAGTTAGGCTACGTCTTCACTACAGGGGTGGGTCGATTTAAGATACGCAAATTCAGCTACGCGAATAGCGTAGCTGAATTCGACGTATTGCAGCCGACTTACCCTGCTGTAGGGACGGTGGCAAAATCGACCTCTGCGGCTTCCCGTTGACGGCGCTTACTCCCACCTTCGCTGGTGGAGTAAGAGCGTCGATTCGGGGATCGATTGTCGCGTCCCAACGGGACGCGATAAATCAATCCCCGAGAGGTCGATTTCTACCCACCGATTCAAGCGGGTAGTGTAGACCTAGCCTTAGAGAGGCTTGATTCATCCTCTTAAACCTGTACTGCTTTATCTCTATTTGTGGTCCCCCTATGTGCTTAATAACTCTCTCATTTTTCTCAGCTGTTTTTCCTGTTACCAAGGGAAGGCTTTTCAATTTAGATTTCCCAGGATCATGTTTAGCACCTTTTTGAAAAGATAGGTACACTGTTGGCCTTCTTCCCATCCTCCAGTATCGTAGTGCTTGCTGATGGTAACTTACCTATTTTGGGCGGTAGTTCAGTTACTCCATTCTTCAGTATAAGCAAAGAGCCCCAGCCGGCTCCCACTGAAGTAAGTGGGAATTAAGCTACTGACTTCTGTGTGAGCAGTATCAGTCCCAGGCTTATTTGGAAAATAAGTCTTAGTGAGTAGCCTTGGTCTGACCTCACTCTGAAAGGTAAGATCTGAAACTATTCCTATGCTTGTTTTAACACTGGCTTCTTTTATTATCTACTCTTTCTTTGTAGCTGAGATGCTGTGGCATTCAGAACTACACCAACTGGAGCACTAGCCCTTACTTCTTTGAACACGGTATTCCCCCAAGCTGCTGCATGAACGCCAGTGACTGCAATCCCCAGGATCTGCGCAATATGACCGTTGCTGCCACTAAAATAAACCAGAAGGTACAGGCCACTGTGTGCCAAAGGCAACTGAGATGCAACTATCCGATGAATTAGTTCGCACATTACTACATATGGTGTCATTGAAGTGCGGTTCCTGCCTAGCGATATGAAGAGTGTGGAAACTGGGGATGGAGAAGTGGATAAGATTGCCCACTGCTTGCCACCCAACACTTAAATTGACATTTCTGAAATAAGCAGACACAGAAACCCGACCAGTGAGATGTGAACTCACTTCTCATTCCCATCACATTTGGTCAGGTACAGCATCTTGCACAGAGGCAAAGCTGGCAAGACTGTTTAAATACACAGAAGTGAGGCAGCTGACCTCGGTACTTATGTCAATCAGCAGTTCTCATTCTCACTGACTCCCTCCCCGCCAACTTGTCTTCTGTCAGAAATTTCAGGCGTTGGATGCTAACAGCCCAAACAGAGAAAATAGGGATGATTGACGTGAAGCGTTGTGGGGTAGTGAGATATGTTTGCTGTGCCCCGTCTAATCTCATTGGATTCATACTGCTGCAGGCAGAACAGAGCTAACATTGACCCCTCCCCACCTTCAAAAAGACAATTGGGAGAGTAGTATCGAGAGAGAGTGAGTGAGATAGCAAAACAAATAAATTAATAACAGAATACAAATGCAGAAAATGTGAAGAAAAGAGGGGAAAAGGGGAAACAATGCAACATATAGAAAAGACACTCCTAATACTGTGTTGTGCAAGGAGACATTCATTGCTGGCACAGAACTTCTTTCCTGTTGACTTTTTGCATAAGATTTTCAAGAGAGGTAACAAATTGTTCATAAAGGGAATAATCCTGATGCCAAATTAAACCTTGATATAACACCATGACTTCGGTGGTTACAGGAGAGATTAATTCGCCCCAGCGCATTTAGTGATTTATTTCTCTTGTCATTTCTCGTCTATTTCCAGTGTAACTGTTAACACAAGAAATTATTGGTATATAACAGAAAAATGCAGAAACGGTTGGTTGTGTTCTATTTTAATCCTTTTCAGCTTGTACTTCAACTCAGCTGCCTGTCCGTCAGGGACTTGGAGATGGGGACTGAGGTCACATTTACGACTCTACCTTTGTAAAGCAGTCAAATAGAGTGTTTTTCCAGTCCATACCAAGAAGACAATAATACTGGATTAGCTTCCACTAACCTATCCTTCAGTCACAGTAGCCTACTGTGAGCCAATCAGTGCTAATGGATTTGGAACAGGGATGATGTCGGTCTATTGTGAAACTTGAAATAATTGTCATCAATGTAATGTTGCTGTGCTGGGTGAGTTTAAAGGATTTGCAAAGACATTAATTTACACTCGTTAATTAGTGCCAGATTCTGCCTTTTGTAGAGAGGGAGGAGGGGAAGGTGCAGTGGGGCTGAGCTGCACCAGGAGGAATTCTGACTGAGGCCAGGACTACACTACATGCTTACTTGGGTATAACTACGTCGCTCAGGGGTATGAAAACTCCACACCCCTGAGTGATGTAGTTATACCAATCTACTCCCCCCATCCCCCATGTAGACAGTGTTATGTCAGTGGGAGAGCGTCTCCTGCCGACATAGCTACCGCCTCTTGCAGAGGTGGGGTAACTAAGCTGACTGGAGAATGCTACAGTGGTGCAGCTGCGCCAGTGCAGCGTTTGTAGTGTAAACCTGTCCTGAGTTGGCCAGAATTCCTCCTGGGGAGCACACTTGGGAGCCAGGAGCTCTGCCACCGCCCAGCTCTTCCTCCATCTCCCAGGCTTCAGAGTGCACCCATCTCCTTGTTGTGTAGCTACTAGAAAATGGACAGAACTGTGGCCTTGGCCTCACTGGTCCACTTACAGGTACCCATGGAGTTCTAATGAGGAGTAGACCTGATGCTTCTGAGCCATACTGTCGCTGCGGGAGAAGGTGCAGGAAAGGTTATAGCTTTTACACGTATACTCCTACAAATACTTGGCTGGCTGGATAGATAGAGGCTCTTGGAACCCTCCCCCTCATCACAATCTGACCTTGAGTTAATTTGCCTTTTTGCTGTGGACAAAACTGAAATATTATTTCAAATGATAACTGGAAGGGAAATGCACAGTAGTTTAAAATCAATGCCTTCCAGCTGATCCCTGGCTGATCCCTCCCACGTTTAAACTGGGGTGCAGTTATCTTGTTCTAATGTTCTGATTGGTACTGCAGACTCACCAGCATTCACTCTCACTTCACAGAGAGCCAATCTTCGTTTTATCTTTAATTTGATTATTTTTTACCAGCCATTATCCATAGAGTCTCTGTTTCTGAAGTAGCTGACTTGATTATTTTGTCCACGGGTTGTCCAGGGATAGTTTGAAGGTCTTGCCCACATCTGAGAACTCTGTTTCAGTTGCCATTTAAATCCAAGACTTAAAGAACTCTCCGCTGGGGAGCTGTCCCAGATCTTTGAGTTGCTCAAAGAAACTTGAACAAGGTGGGCTATTTCTGAGAGGTGGGAGGGGAACAGGAACAAAAAGCAAAGCAAAAAGAGTTGTGGCTGGTCTGGTACTGTAGCTTACAGGGAAGGAACAGCCTTGATGGTCCCTGAACAGACTCTCATCCTGTTCTCAGCCAAGAAGGAGGTTTGTGATTAAGGATAAGATTTTTGTCATGGAAGTCAGAAATCCTATGACTTTCAGAGACCTCTGTGACATTTTCCATTGCAGCTTCAGTCCTGGGGCAGTGGGGCTGGAGAAGTCAGCTGGCGGGGGGCCTGGAGCTCCAAGCCACGGTGGGGCTTGGGTTCTCATCCCTCCTATCAGACCCGCCCCCCATTATTTTTAGTAAAGTCACAGACAGGTCGCAGGCTTCCATGAATTTTTGGTTATTGCACATGACCTGTCCGTGACATTTACTAAAAATAACAATGATAAAATCTTAACCTTATTTATGATACTTGCCTGTGTGTATTTTTTGCAGGATTGGGGACATACAGGTTCCTTTGTTGCAGAGGTCTGTCTCTCTCTCTCTAGCTCTCATTTATGGATTAAATACATTTGAAATGCAGTCTTTTCCTAGTCTCCAAAAACCAGTAATAGGAACAGGCTTCAAAAAAAAAAGGTAAAATAAGGTGCTAAAAGTTCACAAAGAGTACTAATGAATTACCAATGGAGGCTTATTCTAGTGGTCTGATCACACGACTGGAAGTCAGAAACTCCTGGACTGTGTTTCCCAACTCTGCTACTGATTAGCTAAGTGACTTTGGGAAGTCGTTTAGGGCTAGAGTCACAAAAGGACCTAGGCATGTAACTGTTGCTTTAGGTCCCTAGATTCCAGAATCATACTTGGTTGGAATTCACAAAGCCCCCATCCAGCTGTTTCAAAACTGTGTGCAGGTGCCTAAACTCTCTCTCAGGTGCCTGAATTTTTCCAGTTATTTTACTCCATCCAAACACCTACTTTACTCCTACACTCCACGTCTGGACACTTAAGTGGCAGAGTGATTCATGAAAGGAAGATACGTCTTCCTCCGCCTAATTCACCTGTGGGGCCCAATCCCTTAAGTGTGCTCAGAGCTCACTTGCCGGATTGGGCCCTGTATACTGACGTGCACATAACAGCCAGGGGAAGGGAGAGGACAACCTCCCTCACAACTGTTAGCCCAGAGGTTAGAGTATCTACCTGAGGTGGGGGAGACCCCCCAGTTCAAGTGCTACCTCCACGTCAGAGGGGAAGACGGCATTTGAACAGGGATCTGCCATTTGTCAGGTGAGTGCCCTCACCATTGGGATATAGGCTCCTTAGATGTTGGTCTCCCTCAATCTGCCCAGTCTCCTGTTCTATTATGAATAAGTCATTAAAAAATTAATCGGAGCAGGGGGACAGGACCCTGGGTTTCCCACCGCCCAGGTGAGTGCTCTGCCAGGCTACAGAATCATTCTCATGCTTGTGCTTTCTTGTGCTCTCTCTCTCTGTGACCCAAATGACTTCTTCATGATTTATTCACAGTGGAACAGCTGAGGGAGCCCCACTTCAGAATATTCTGTAGCCCAGTGGCCAGGACACTCACCTGAGAGGCGGCAGATCCCTGCTCCTCCTGAGGTGAAAGGGGGATTTGAACCAGGCGTCTCCCACATCTCAGGTGACTACCCTAACCACTAGGTTAAAAGTTATGAGGGAGTCTCCACCCTCCCAGCTTCTTGTTAAAAAACAAAAACAAAAAAGCCATGGGCACCAGATGCCAAGAAAGGATTTCCAGCTGAGAATCCGAAACAGAGGGAGGCACCTCCCTGCAGTCTGGATTTAAGCACTAAACTCCCTAAGAAGGGTGGGGTTTGGGACACATCTCTCCCATTGGCTAATTTAGGCTGCTTCCCATCTAGCATGCTGGCTTTTGTGATACCATTCTGAGGCACGTATCTCTCCCCATTCATTTTATAGGGAACCTGCATGCCTAACCCTGGCTTTGGAATCCCAGTGATTTTTTTCTAGGCACCTAAAAGTTAGGTGTGGTGATGCCAAGTGAATCTAGCCCTAAATCTCCTCATCTATTAAATGAGGCTAATATCTAACACTGAGCTGTCATTAGGATTCGCTAACCAAAGTGCATTACAAACAAATCCTAAGCATTATTTTTCTCTAAAATGTTGATAAAGGAACAGGAATAGGGATGCAAATGAAGTGATAGTTGCTAAATAGGGTTCCCCCTCCCCTCCAATAGCTGCGTCGTTACAATATACAGAATTTTTCAAGTTTGTTTGGTAATGTCTGCACCACTCTTGAGGGTGCACCAGTTCTGAGGGTGCACAACAAGGACTGAGCACTTACATCATAATCATACAATAAATTGCCAGAAACAGTAAATTATGGCGTCCTGGAAAAACATTCTACACATGAGGTGAGTGAGTAAAGTTATCTTACTAGCATGATCTTTTTAACAAGTAAGACTTTAAGTCTCTCTCAAATTACCATAACTGTGAGCTGTTACATCTTGTGCAAGCGATTGAACACAATAGATTTGAGAATCTTTGGGAAAGGCTGGAAAAATATAAAGGCACATCTGGCAGAATGAAAGAATTGGTTGAACGCTCTAGCCTCATTTCATAATATGCAGGACATACAACCATAGTTGCTTGATATGTTAAACGAGTAAGCTTGAAATAATGTATAGTTAGTATAATGTTGCAAGATGTAATTAGGGGTTAATATGTATGTTGAAACATCTCATAACTGATTTATGGCTGCCCTGGAGTTGAGTCACTCTTAACTTTATCTACCATTTCATTACTCTGAGGATTAAAAAAAATGTATTTTATCTTACAAAAGAGGTTCAAGAAATCATGTAATCTAGGTCATGAATGGCCTACATTTAACAAAGGGCATTTTCTTCTTCTGACCACTAGTGTGCAGTATAAGGCCCTGATATCCTCTAAAAACATGCTTAAGAGTTTGCAGGATTGGAGCCTGTGTGTGCACTTGCATGCGCATGATGAATAGACTCATAATGCTGCACGGGTGCTGACTTTTTTTTCCCCCCGGTGGGTGCTCCACCCCTGCTCTGCCCCGAACCCCCGAGGTCCCGCCCTTGCTCTGCCTCATTCTGCCCCCTCCCCTGAGGCCCACCCACCCATCGCTCTCTCCTCTCCGCTCTCGAGGCCCCTCCCGAGCACCTCCCGCAGGCTGCTGTGATCCTCGGCCAGCCCCAGGGGCCCGCTGCCCAACAGCTGATCAGCAGCCAGACCCCAGGCCAGAGCCACTGTGGCCGGTGGGTGCTGAGCACCCCCTATTTTTTTTCCCATGGGTGCTTGAGCCGCAGAGCACCCACAGAGTCAGTGCCTGTGTCACACTGGCAGTGCTGGAGTCAAGACTGAGAAAGGCGAGACAAGTAAAATTCCACTCTTTTCTCAGCTTCCTATAGAACTGACACAGATATAACATATGCACTTGGCCTCAGTCTGAGAATAAGTTCGTGCTGAGTTTGGGGAGAAAAGCTGGGTTGTTTGGGGGGGGGGTTGGTGGGGTTTGTATCAGGGGGAAAAAATCAGACTGTTTGTGCTTGTGGTTTTCAGTCAATGACTTAGATTCCTTTAAACACCTGAAACTGGAAAAGCTAATTGCAAACACATTTTTGAAAAAATAATTTAAGAAAATATATGTATTGAGAGAGAGACAGATCTCAAAAGCATGTCCAAGAACAGCCTGTGCACACACACTCTCTGCCTCCTACCCCCAGTTTGAAAGGCCGTGTATTGAGGTAGGGGGAGAGTGGCTCTGATGGGATCGGGGTCTCGACTGTAGACCAGGAATGTGTATTTGAAGGGGGAGGGGGCTTGTTTGTTCTTTTCTGCTCAAAAAAACCTCAAGGAAACAGTCGAACCCCCCCCCCCCCCCCCCCAAAAAAACCCTTCAGTACTGTCATATATTAAAAGTAATAAACCATTCCAGACCATGCCTGGTGCCTTTAGAGGGACACGGCCAGGCAGGACACCTTCCTACGCATCCGAGCCATGCTTATGTTAAACAGCAGCATGTTCCTAAATAAGCTAGTGTTACGCTAGCGGGTGCCCCCTCCTGGCCAGGCACTAGAACTGCCATGAGCGGAATCAAGACCTCCTTTGCTCTGGATCCCATGGGTGTTTCAAGCTTCTGTAGCCTCATCAGGCTGCAGCACCAGTTTCTCCCTTGGCCTCTCTGGCACATTTACTAGCACTAACTCTGTCTGTCATCCCTTTCCCAGAAATGGGGCTCCTCGGCCCACCTGCCCTCGGCCCCCACCACCAGGGCTGACCCCCAGGATGCCCCAGTTACTTAAACACACCCTTCTCCCAGAACTCCCCTCGAAGGTGTGAAGCTTCTGGTTACAGTGTAACTCTCGGGGGCATGCAGCGGTTGTGGAGTAGTTAGCACAGAGACACACTGTGCACAGAGTCTAACACATTTATGCTCTTTTACTTAATCATACAAAAGCAGAGGAGAGTACAGCTCATACAAAACAAGAAGCATCTTAAACCGCAATGTCCCTTACTATCTTGGGGGCAGGCAGGCAGGGAGCCCCCTGCTTCAGGAGGTGGTATGTGCTGGGTTGCTTCTCCCTTCTGAACTGGAGAAAATGCCCCCTCCCCACCCAGCAGACCAGCCTCTGCCCTTTTGAAACCTTTGGCCCAGGTGACACCCATGCCAGCTTCCCCATGTGGACACACATCCCTACTGGGTGATTTCATTGCCCAGGTGACTTCCCCCTACTAAACCAGTTCTGCTGCGTAGGGACCATCTGTTGTCTAGAAGAGTGAATAGATTTCCGGCAGTTTACAGTCTTAGAGTCAACTATCCTCTGTTGTTCTTTTGCCACCAGCCTTTGACATCTTAACCCAATGTGGAGGCAAACAGACCATAGCGAAGGCAGAAGTCTGGGCATTCAGAATGGAGTTTGTAGCCTGACACAGACACACAGGATACGTCTACAGTGCAATAAAAAACCTCCAGCGCCAACTGTCAAAACCTGCGTCAATTGACTCGGGCTTCAGGGGTTGGGCTGCGGGGCTGAAAATAGCAGTGCAGACATTCAGGGTCGGGCTTGAGCCTAGGCTCTGAGACCCACCCTCCTTGCAGCGTTTCAGAGCCCAGGCTCCAGCTGGAGTCCAAATGTCTACACTGCCATTTTTAGCCCTGCAGCCCAAGCCCTGTGAGCCCAAGTCAGCTGACACGGGCCAACTGTGGCCATGCCATGGGTCTTTTATTGCTGTATAGACGTACCCATAAGGGTTCGTAATCTCTCACACAATTCATAAATTGTACAGACATATTCCCAAATTGTCACAGCTAGCATGATTCATTTTTACTGCCTGTATCTTGTCAGGTTCTGCTTTGTTTTCAGATCGACTCTGTTGAGGCCTTACTTTTTTTTTAAATATCAAAAAGATTTTCCTTAATAATACAACAGTGTCTTATTTATTACAGCATCACATTAGGCTTCTTTCCCATTCTAGCAAATTTGTTTCTAAAATGTACTGTTTCTGTCTTCACGATTATTGGGTACACTCATCACTTAACAGGAATTGTTATTAAATAAAATAAGTTAAAATGTTGTTGGAAGTCATGATAAAAATACCCAATTTCTGACTGAAGCCAAATGAAATGGGGGAAGGGGCACACACGCTCAAAGCCTGATTATGTTTGTCTTTGTTTTACAGGGCTGTTATGATCTGGTGACCAGTTTTATGGAGACAAATATGGGAATCATAGCTGGAGTGGCTTTTGGAATTGCATTCTCACAGGTATACAATTATACTACATGAACTAGGTGGGTTTTTTTCTCTTTTCCTCTTCCCCTGGCTTCAGGGAAGGATTATAATAAGGGACAGAGCTCAGAATGCTCATTAGTCCTTTGGTCATCTGTTCATTGATTTTCTTTTTTCAACTTAAATGCAGTTTCTCCTTGGGAATATGCAGTTATGATTCAACTAATGACTAGCTCAAGGAAAATCACTTGTCCCTCTGTTGGGTCAAACAGAGGTTAACCCAATAAAGCATTGTTTTAAATGGAGCATAAACAACTCAAAAGCCAAATAGCTGATCCATATGTTGGATAGGCTTTTCACTCTTCAGGCTTTCTTTTTTAAAGATCTTGTTATAAAATTCAAAGATCTTTAAAATAAGAACATAAATTTAGCCTGGCTCATTCAAAAACTGTTTGTTTTGTTTTGTTTTTTATGTGGTGACCCGCACTATTTGCTTATTTCAGCTTCACTGTAAAGAGAAAAAAGTTCAGGGTGGGAGAGGACTAATTGTTAAAACTCTGTTCATTCTACTAACTTTTCTAAATGAAAAACCCCTTTGATTTTTGTGAGGAGAGGCCCCTTAAATCAACGTAGGAGTTCAGTTTCCCTAGCTACAAACAACAGCACAGCTGTAAGGAGAAAGATGCCAAAACCACAGTCTAAAAGCCACACTGTTTCATGATATGTTTTGGCATGCGGAGTATTCAGGGAAGACTAGGAAGCTGGCTATGGCTCCCTGACTTTCAAACTGCCTTGGCCCTGACATCAGTTAAAGAAGCCTAGTGACCGTTCTGACTTATTGTTGTGAGTTGGGTGAAACTTTGGGTTGAGTTAAAACCCTAGTGAGATTGATAGGTGTGAATTTACCCTTCAATTAACATAACTGTAAGCATAAGCTGCCACATAAAAGAAAAGGTATGTGTGAACCTGCCCAGGAGTTTTTGACTGAGTCATAGGCCCCAACTTCCCCTCTTTCCCGTGGGTGCTCGACCCCGCCCCCATCTCCACTCCACCCCTTCCATAAGGCTCCACCCCTGCCCTGCCTCCTCCCACCCCTTCCCCAGAGTCCCCGCCCTAACTCTGCCCCCTCCCTGCCAATATTCCAACTCCTTCCCCAAATCCCCACCCCGGCCCAGCCTCTTTCCCGCCTCCTCCCCTGAGCGCGCCATGTTCCCGCTCCTCCCCTCCCTCCCAGAGTGTGCTAACGCTGCCAAACAGCTGTTTAGCGGCGGCTGGATGGGAAATGCTGGGAGGTAGGCGGAGGAGTGGGGATGCGGCGTGCTCGGGGGGGAGGAGGAGGTGGGGCGGGGGCTGAGGGGAGCTTGGGGCTGGAGCACCCACGGAGTCGGTACCTATGGACTGACTATTGTTTTGGGTAGGGTATTTGCGTGTAGAGATCACATAGAAAGAGAGGACAAAAGAACAAAGAGGGAGAGAGAGGCAAGAAAGCCAAGCAGTATCCTCTAAGTATAGTGTGATCCTGGAAAAAGCTAGAGAGCTTTTGAGTCTTATGTTGACTAGAGGGTTGGGGGCTGTAAGCTAAGAAACTGCTCATTTTGTTCTCAGTTCCTTTTGCACTCAGAGAAGCAGGATTTTGTACATTCCTTGTAAATAAACAAGATTGCATCAAAGAAAATACCAGACTCCGTCAGTTTCTACTTTTAGCTGGAACATCCCCAGAGCTCCAAACTCTGACTAGCTATTTGGGTCGAAAAGGACCAAAGATTAGTTAAAAGAAGCCTAGGGACTGTTCTAAATTATGAAAGCTGCTTATGGTCCTTACACCAGTGAAAACCAGGAATACTACCTGCATCTTCCACAAAATCTTGACCCTTCTTTGTAGTAGTCATTTGCCTTGGAATGGTGAGAATCCCCTCAAAATGTGCAGAAATAGGAGAAAGAAAACCACATTTAGAAGCCCAATGCCAAACCATTTCCAAAACAGGACAGTGAGGTGCATGCACATTCGTGGGATTAAACTACTTCCATCTGAGCGAATATTTGCCTTCTCTCTTCTAGACCCAGAACAGGTTGACTGTAAACACTACACTTGAAAGTTGTCATTATAGCTGGCATTTGCTTTGGTCATTTAATGTTAAAAATCCAGCTCCAGGCATTTTAGAAGTGTAAACCTGATGGCACGAGGCACCATATTTTAAAATATTTGTGCAGTGCTTTGAAAATGGGAAGTGCCAGCTGACTTTATTCTGCTTCACCTTAAAACGCATGAATTCAGTCAATGTGCTGCATGTAAAGACAGTGCTCTCATCTGCTAAAACACCAGCTACACTCTCCTCTTTTTACTGCAGTTTACTGCAGCACAGCCCCTTTCTCTTTTCTTGCTTGACTTGCACATCCTGTCATTCCGTGGCAAATTGTAACAGGGAGTGTGACTGTCCATTATAGAGGTTAAACAGTGTGAACAGCCTTTGTTAAAACTGGGGGAACGAAGTTAGGAGTGACTTATGCATGGCTACACATTTTGGTTCAAGAAAAATAATTCTGGCAATGTTTCTATGATTTTATTTTAGTCAAATTCCTATTAACAAGTTTCACTGCTTTGCTGAACCGAGCCTATCTCTAAATTCTTCAGTATAACTGCTTCCAAGTACTGAGGAAAACTGTTAGCAGATCCATTATCCACTGAAACCCAGCCTCAGGTAGCCTGAAGTGTGTTGGTTGGATTAAGGCTTCTGACTGACTACTTTGCCTTGGATGTTACCGTCTGTTCTTTGTCACTAGAAGACCATGATGTCTTTGCTAAGAACCACACTAACATTTTCTTGTCTGAGTCTTGGTTGTGAGGAAACATCATGCTTTGGTTCTGCACTCTGAGTTGATGGTCAGTTGTACCTGAACCATCTCAAAGCATTGACTTATCCTTCATACAGACACACAGCAAAAGAACTTTGGTAGCCAGAAGCTGTGATAACACTAGCTTTTTACTACTGTATTCCACTTCTTGACAACTGGTAGTAGTTGACTTGTTCTTGTTCCTAACCTTGATGGCACCATTATAAAGTGCTCTCTGTACTCTATCTGAATCTGTTTTTAGGTAGTCAGAATTGTGTTCAATGCAGATATCTTTAAAAAATCCATCCAAAATTGTTTGAGGACTCGGGAGGTAACATGTTGGATTATTCAGCCCTACACAATTGAGGCAAATTGCAGGATATTTTGTAGGTAAGGATCTGGACCAAGTATAAATCACCAAATCTGCTTTAGCCTAGTCACATCTTTAATGAATCTGTAGTACGTGCTGTATTTTTACGTGTAGCATTTTAACTTGGCTAGAAGTTGTTTGCAGCTGGGAGGACAATATAGAAAGAAGCCAAACTGGGATTGTTTGTCAGAGTTTTGACCTGTCTGGATATTTATTATAGGCAATCCATAATGTATGGGTTAAATTCTGTCTTTGATGGAATTGGACGGTGCAGCAAAGAAGAACAGAGATGCAGACCGATGCATCCTCTGCAGCGAGAATCATGCTGGCGCAGGCTGGATTTATCATGGCAGGCTGCAGGCAACACAATGTGAAATGCACTTTGCTGCTGCTCCGAGCAAGTGCAAAGTGCACCCTGATGTGCTGCTGGCAAGGATTTGTTGCTGCTGGCAGTGTACACTCCAGCCAACTGGGGAGCTAGACATTCTTCACTTCCAGCACACTGTTCCCCTACACCATTAAGGAGGTGGAGGCATGAGACTCAGGCAGGCATACTTCCCAGCCCACACTTGTGCACTGTAGAAAGATTCTTCCTGGCCTGTTTGTGTGTGCGAAGTGACTCCCTACCTCGCCTAATCCCTACCCCTTGTGGAGCAGACAGCTGAATGTAGCCTAATATGTGAAGAATACAATACAGTTGGTTCCCATTTACTTATTAATCTGTCTTGCTTGATCCACATAAGAATGGAATCCTCTGACTGATTTCAGATTAAGCAAGGCTAATAGTAACGTAGCAGGCAGAGATACAGCTTTAGGTGAGGTTTCACTGTTTCTATTTAGAATAGTTTTAATCAAGTAAAAGGCAAGTTGCACTGTTTTGCTCTTCTGCAGTAGAGCATGTTGTGCTGGCCTTTCCCTTGCATAATTTGTTAGGTGTTAACCAGTACAAGGAATGTACCAGTTCTCAGAAATGGAAAAAGGTGATGTAATGGCATGACGTGTCTTATTGCTTTGGCATGATTTCTCAACCACAATTAGTGTCTGAAAAGCTGCTTTGGGACCGATGACATCTGCACAATTGCGAAGCACAGACTTTCCTTGTTGAGGTTCAAATAATAATTTTTGGAAAAGCAAATTGTTTTTGGAATCGAAGTCTGACATTGATTTTCAGCTGGAATAACTTGTGTTTAGCAGGTGCTCTTCATGAAAATGATCCCCATACACTGGACAACATAAAATAAAACTGTCCAAGTCCCCTTTAAGAGGAATGATTTTTGCCTGTGGAACACTACGTGCAGATGTTGGTTTAAAGGACATGGGATAGCCTCTTCAGGTTGGAATTACCATTGAGTTACTCATTAAGTAGGAAGGGATTGTAGTGCAGCTTTAGAGCCATATTGTTCCAGCTTTACTGCAGGATGCAGTAAAATCAATCCTTCAGAGTGCACAATACCGATTCATTTAGGGATCTGTGTTTGGATTCCCTCTAGTCCAGTACAGCATCCACTTTGTGCATATATTTTAGCACTTGCAATTTAATTTCTAGCATAAAGTTGAGTAGTTGCACCTGATTGGGGGCACAATTCAGGTGGAGGCATGACTCTTCAGATCTGTGCCCACAGCTCATGTTTGGGACAGAAGTTGCACCCACAGACAAGAAGGCTGGGCCTCAGCCTGGCTGAAAATACATTAAGGAGAATAAGAAATGTTTGAAATGTCAATTTGCCCAGTGCCAATGTGGCAGACTCAAAGCAGAGTTTCTGTTGGATTTGAAAATATTGAAAAAATATTCCTAAATGCTAAAAAAGTACATTCATAAAAATACCCCTTTTAA